CCAGAATACAGCAGTGTCCGGCCGAAATCAGCAAAAAGAAAAATTGCTAGGAAAAATCCAGCCCACTATGTCAATAGTGATTTATTGTATTTTAATATTTTGTTGGAAGCTGCCCAGATGGGCGGGGTATAATAAATAAATTATGATTATGATTATGATTATTACCCATCCTCCATAAAAATAGCTCCAAAATGGCATTTTCAACCTTTTTTTTGCTGTCCAGATTTTTGCCGTTTGAAATATGGCAACCCTAGACAGTACGCAATAGACTCTGAGGAGGAGGTCCAAGTGGGAGGGATGCAGAACTGTCCGAAGTGTTGGAAAATGATTACCTGCAAGCAAAAGAGTCATGGCAGAAGAGTGTGACACATGGGGGCTGTCTTTCTATTTATGTTTATTCTCATGTAAAGGATCATGTGGAGGAGATGACCGTGTGAACCAGGATGCATGCAGAGACAGTCAGCAGGCATTTCCGCAATGGCAAAAATTGTGTTTCTGGAGTCAAGGATTTGGAGAGTTTGGGGGTTCAGTTTAAGCGACAATTCTTGATGTATTGCACTGTTTGGCTGGATGGTGTAACTGTAATCACAGTTAAGACGAATCAACAGACAGTGTGTGTGTGTGTGTGTGTGTGTGTACACACTAATATTTGGTTTGCCTAAACTGTCAAATTCTAGTCCAGATGAAAAGGTTTTGTAAAAGTTGTGAAAGTTAGCTAGATTTTGGCAAGTTTCCAGGAGAAAGGAATTCTACAGCTGTGGGTTAGGCACTAAAATTGTCTCACTGTGTTCCTTTGCCGACTGTCCTTATCTGGCACACAGATGGTAAACGCAAGCCGGCATTCTCCCTTGAACTTCCAGATTCCACTGGGGCCTAGCGTAGATGAAAACATGACTCATAGGTATGTTAGACTCTACTGGCGTAGGACTTTATGTATTAAAAAAACTTGGGTGACTGCCAAATTCTGCTTAAAGTGGAATCTGGCTTAACATTTACTTTCTATTACAGTGAAATAGCATTGTAAAACAGCTCGCTTACTGAAAGCTGTCGTTTCCCATCAAATCCAGATTCATTTATATTTATCAAGGAAAATATTGAATGCTTCGCACCCTACGACAATTGGTATTCTGCTTTCTTTACAATAGCTTCGTCAGTCTCTTTATCCTCACTGTATTCCAGTCCTTCTGTGCCAAACCGCCTTCCATAATAAAGCGCATGGTGGCATTTCTGCCAATGCTGGCTGGCATTATCCTGTGTGCATACATACATTCATTCATACAACTTTGCATTTACTCATACATCACATGATCATGTGTCTCTGTCCATCAGCATCTCAGGGTGAAGCAGCATGAGACATAAGGGATGTACAAAGTATTAAACATTTGCAAATAGTGAGACATCACCTTGCCAACAAAGGTCCGTATAGTTAAAGCTATGGTTTTCCCGGTAGTGATGTATGGAACTGAGAGCTGGACCATAATGAAGGCTGATCGCCGAAGAATTGATGCTTTTGAATTCTGGTGCTGGAGGAGACTCTTGACAGTCCCATGGACTGCAAGAAGATCAAACCTCTCCATTCTTAAGGAAATCAGCCCTGAGTGCTCACTGGAAGGACAGATCGTGAAGCTGAGGCTCCAGTACTTTGGCCACCTCATGAGAAGAGAAGACTCCCTGGAAAAGACCCTGATGTTGGGAAAGATAGAGGGCACAAGGAGAAGGGGACAACAGAGGACGAGATGGTTGGACAGTGTTCTCGAAGCTACCAGCGTGAGTTTGACCAAACTGCGGGAGGCAGTGGAAGACAGAAGTGCCTGGTGTGCTCTGGTCCATGGGGTCACGAAGAGTCAGACACGACTAAATGACTAAACAACAACAACAAATAGTGAGGTTGTGCAGGACATAACCTAGTCTTGACCTTGGCACAGGGAAGAGGAACTTGTCGTATTGCACCATTCCTCCATAGGTCCCCCCCCCATTACTATTTGCACTTTTAAGAAAAAGCACACATGAGCTCTGTCCAATATAAATCAGGACCCTTTGCAGCTGCTATCTGCAAAGTTTCAAGAGATTGGTGATGCATTCAGCTGTAATCTTTGCCTCATCTAGTTTAGCTGTCAGCTGTAGCCTTCAAGTCCACAGCAATAGAGGGGAGCCCCTGTTCTAAAGACTACAAAACCCAAGGTGCAGTGTAATGGTGTGAAATATCATCTGCATAATTGTCTGATGCCTTCAGTTGAATTCAAACCAAAAGCTGAATTTTCCATGAAATGCCACTGCTTGCGAACAAATCTTAATCCCCTCCCCCTCACTTCATGGCAGAATTTCTTCAGTTGGTTTTGCATAATCCCAGTAAAAAACACTCTTTGAATTATATTCAGAAGAAAAATAGGGAGGCAGACATATGAAGGAATAGGAGACTTTAGTAGCCCTTGAGGCCAACTGAGAATAAGAGTATAAAGGGGAAGGAAATATCAGAAGAAGATAGCAGAAAGGGGTAAAAAGGGACGAAGGGGTGTTTTGAGGTAAAATTGTACTTCAAATCATAGAATCTTAGAGTCATCTAGTCCAACCCCCTGCAATGCAGGAATACCTAATCTCTCACTGTTGAATAAATAGGTTATAAATACAACCTCAGCTGGCCGAGCATGAATTACAAGAGTGTGTAACACAACACCGTTGAAATCCTAACTTCCTCTTTACTCCTGGTTACTTTTGCTTATGAGCACAATGCATTTGCTGCCTGGAATATTCTGAAACTTCTTGCCTGACACGTTTGTTCAACATAATTCATAAAATGTGAATGGAATAGTTTCAACTAGCATCAACTGTACTGATTGTAGTCAGGGAAAGAGGTATACTCTATATTAAAAACAGAGACGTGTTAGTCGTTCATCAAAGAGCTTAACATAGTTATGTGTTTGCCCCCCGCAAAGAATTTTATACTTGAGCCAAGTGTAACATAAAACTACTTCCTGCGGCTGGGAAAATATGGCTGCAAGCGTCACTTTATAGCTGGCTATCGGGCACCTCAACAACTGGAAGCATTTTGACTGACACTCATTTATAGTGAAACATATAGCCAACACCCAAAGACCCACAATTTCGTGTTTGTATAATGTCTCCTGTAAACACTCCTTGGCATCAGTTTAGCAAATACGAAGTTTATCTGGCAGCCCTCTAACTTTCCAGTTTTGTTTTTGTATGGTGGGTGTACAGTGTACAGTGGTACCTCGGGTTAAAAACTTAATTCGTTCTGGAGGTCCGTTGTTAACCTGAAACTGTTATTAACCTGAGGTATCACTTTAGCTAATGGGGCCTCCCGCTGCTGCACCACTTTGTTCTCATCCTGAAGCAAAGTTCTTAACCCAAGGTACTATTTCTGGGTTAGCGGAGTCTGTAACCTGAAGCGTCTGTAACCTGAAGCATCTGTAACCCGAGGTACCACTGTACACATAAGCAAAATTCCAAATTAAAGCTTCTGCACAATTACATTCCCAACGGGAACTTGAAACTTGCATTTTATTACAAGATCCATTAAGTGGTTACCAGATAGTCTTGCCACAGTTGCTATGCACGCTCTAACAACAAGTAGATATGAAACATTTTGCATAGG